TGGTCCTCCCCGGTCGAGCCGACCCATTCGTGTTACAACTATACTTCTAATACAGCTGCAGCTATACTGCAACATGGCTCTACCACGTAAGCTTTGTAAATCTCTTTTTAACCTTTGTAAAGCTCCTTTTAAATAAAAAAAATGATTTTAACAAAGCCGTGGGTGTACTGCTACACGCCGCCAGAAATAGTGTGGTAATATTAAATGAAACTATCTTTTACGGACTTTATCGCTTATATCAAATTATTTTATATTCCCGACGTTTCGAGTACTGTGTGACTGAGTGTTTCCATTAAAACATACTGTAAGCCGCCGTCAAGTGTAATATCTCCCTGCAAGATGCAGGAATGTACAAGCTTGGTTGTGAATGTGGTCTCTCTTACATTCATTTAAATTTGTAGTGTTCGCGTAAAGATAAGAAATCATTATGGTGGTATCAATCCAGACAAACTCCTAGAAACTTGGTAGAGCCATGCTGCAGCTATATTAATAGTATAGTTGTAGCAAGAATGGGTCGGCTCGACCGGGGAAGGACCACGCTCTCACAGAATCATCATCATCCTCATTACAGCCTTTCATAAGTCCACTGCTGAACATAGGCCTCCCCCAAGGAATGCCACAAAGGATGGTTCTGCATCCATCGACTTCCTGCATGTCTTACCAGGTCATCACTCCATCTAGTGGGGGGTCGCCCTACACTTCGCCTACCGATACGAGGCTATCACTCGAGAACCTTTCTTCCCCATCGGTTGTCGGCTCTTCGAGATATATCGCCGGCCCACTGCCACTTCAGCTTACTAATCCGTCGGGATATGTCGGTTAATTTGGTTCTACTGCGGATATCCTCATTTCTAAGTTTATCACACAGAGAAACCTCGGGCATAGCCCTCTCCATAGCTTGCTGAGCGACCTTCAGCTTCCTCATACGGCCAGCAGTGAAGGACCACGTCTCAGATCCGTAAGTCATCACTGGCAATACGCACTGGTTGTACAATTTCGTTTTTAGGTTTTGAGGTATGTCTAACGAGAAGATGTGTCGTAGTTTCCCGAACTGCCCAGCCGAGTTGAATCCGTCGATTGACCTCTAGGTCGAAGTTGGACTTACCTAGTCGGACTATTTGTCCCAGGTAAACATACTCGTCAACAACTTCGCTTAGCTCGCAAGCTTAGAGCTCCCAACAACGACCGGCATAGGTGTGACATGGACATTAAACATGATTTTTGTTTTGTCCAGTTCATCTTAAGACCTATCCGTTGGGAAACACTATTGAGGTCATTGAGCATAGTGCTTAGGTTCTCCAGCGATTCTGCCATAAAAACTATATCGTCGGCAAATCGAAGGTGAGTGATGTACTCGCCATTGATGTTAATATCGCATCCTTTCCAGTCCAGTAGCTTCAAAAAGGTCTTCCATTGCAGCGGTGAAGAGTTTCGGGGACATAACGTCACCCTGTCTTACACCTCTCTGCAGGTTTCGTACTATGATTCTGTACTCAGATAGCCATCATAGCTCTACTGTACAACACTTCTGCACTTCGATATACCGACAATCAACTTGGCACCGCTGAAGGGACTGTAGGACCGCCCAAATTTCAACGGAGTCAAAGGCTTTCTCTTAGTCCACATACGCAAGGCAAAGTGGCAGATTATACTCCTCTGTCTTCTTTAAAATCTGCTGCAGGGTATGTATATGGTCTCTGGTACTAAAGCCTTTTCGGAAACCGGCCGGTTCGGGAAGCTAGAAGTCGTCAAGTCTGCGTGCGAGACGATTCGTAATGACTCTCGAAAACAGCACGTAGACGCGGCTCAGAAGGGAAATCAGTCTATAGTTCTTCAAGAGAGCGTTGTCGCCTTTCTTGAAGAACAAGACCACCGCACTTCTGCTCCACGCCTATGGAGTAGTGCCACCATTGAGGACGGAATTAAAGAGCTTCTGAAGGACTTCAAGTACCGGTTTTCCACCCGCTTTCAAAAGCTTCGCTGTAATTCCATCCTCGCCCGGGGACTTGCCGTTATTAAGGTGCTGGAGAGCCATTCTAATCTCGCTCACACTGACGTCCGGTATATCTTTGGAATAATGTCGGATAAGACTCGCTCTTGGATCGTTACTCACACTTTCGTGTGGCTCCAACGATGACGTGTACAGCTGCCCATACAACCTCTCAATCTCACTCAAAATCTCAGATGTCCCGGAAATGATGCTGCCACACTCGGTCTTCAGCTTTGACAGTTGGCTCTTTCTGGCAGACAGATCTCTGGCAAAGACTTTGGAGCCTTGGTTCCGCTCAATCGCTACTTCAATACAAGCTGTATTGAAGTTGCGTAAGTCCTGCCGCATGCATTTGGAGATCTGTCTGTTCAGTTGCCTGTATGCTGTCAAATCTGTTGAAGAATGTAGCTTCATCTCCCGTCTAACAGCCATGAGATTAAGAGTGTGGTCGGAGAGTTTTTGTGTTCTTCTGCGGCGGGTCCTGCAGAACTTAGCTCCAACCGCATGGACGGTTTCCACGAGTTTGTCATTCATATCGTCCACTTCATTGCAGTCTTCTAGGCACTGAAAACGGTTTTGTAACTCGAGTTGAAAGGTTTCGGGACTTTGGAACAGAGCACGAGGGGGACGGAGCGTTGACTTCATTAGACGAGACCTCTCCAATTTAACGTTTAGGTTCAGTGTGCCCCTAACCATTCGGTGATCGCTACCAGTTTTCACCCTCGCGATTACGGAGACATCACTGAACAGTTGTCGTCTGGTTGTCATAATGAAGTCAATCTCATTTTTTGTCGAACCATCGGGGCTCGACCAGGTCCACTTCCTATGGGGCCGCTTCTGGAAGAAAGAGTTCATCATAAAAAGTCTCTCTTTCTCCATGAAGTCGGCCAGCTGCTGGCCCCTCGGGTTCCGTTGCCCTATTCCGAATTTCCCTACTTTCAGCTCACCGTTCTCTCTTGTGCCTAGTTTTGCATTGAAGTCTCCCATTAACACCGTATAGTGGGTTTTAGAGGAATGCATGGCTCTAGAGATATCCTCATACATTTCCTCCACCTCCTCATCGGGATGTGCCGAAGTTGGTGCGTAAACCTGTATGACCTTCAGTGAATACCGTTTAGTGATTCTGAGTATAAGGTACGCAACCCTCGTTGACACACTCTCAATCTTTACAACGTAGAGACTTGTGGACGATAAATCCGACACTTCCTTGGGACAGATGGTCGCCCTCCTGGTGATAGAGCAAGTTGGCGTTTTCGAGAATTACCGTGTCCTTCCCCTCTCTTCAGACCTCGGATAATCCTATAATATGCCAGCGTTACTTGTCTATCTCTTCTTCCAGCTCCACGATCTTCTCGTTAGTCCTCAGGGTGCGTGCGTTGTATGTTGCCAGATCGATTCGTCTTAGGTGGCAACCGAACCTCCACTGGAGATTCTTAGCACTCCCTGTCCCACCGTTACCATGGTCGCCACCGTAGCCAGGAATAGCGGGGCCGCCGGGGACTTGGGGCCGTCTTTTCGTAACTTTCATCATGGGGGGTATATTGCCATAGTTGCCACGCTTGGCAGTTAGAACACAACGCTGGAACAGTTAACAGCCAGGAATAGTGGGGCCGCCGGGGACTGGGGGTCGTCTCTTTGTTGCTCTCATAATTTTGGGGGTATTTGCCATCGTTGCCACGCTTGGCGAGCGGGTTGGCGACCGCAGTTTTTTTATTGTAATTTTGCTGTTATCAGGAAGATGCTGCTGCCCATCTCCTGCCTGTTTCCCTTTGTCGCCTTTTCGACACCCACGGAAGATATGGGGTAGTGGATAGTGGCACACACACACACAGAATACCAGCGTAAAATGGTAGCTTAATGCTGCTGTCTCGTGTGGTGAGTGTTGAGAACCCGAGGCCCATTTTATCGGACAAGAGGCATTCTATCTTAGTCCTCACGGTTGACAACGCATCTGCATTTTAATTCGCAAATGAAGATAGATGTACATGTCTATGGGTCACAGCAACCACTTACCATCAGGTGGATTGTGTGCTCGATTGTCACCCTTATTCTATAAAAAAAAATCCAAGACTCGGACATGGAAGGACCGCGCTCTTGGATAATACCAGCGTAAAGTCTTTTTTCATCCTTTTTTAATCTGGAAACCTCACCCCCACATTAAGATTTTCTCCTGCATTATGGAAGCACTTTACAAACAAATTTCACAAGGAGATTTGAACTCGCGGCCCACAGAGCCGTGACTCAAGCTAAGCCACTGCGCCATGGAGCCATCAAAACAGGAGCTTAATGCTGCTTTGTTCTGTATGGTGAGTGTAGAAAACCGGATACCCTTTTTACTGGAAACGAGGCATTCCATCTTAGTCCTCAGGGGGTGACAACACATCTACATTTTGATTCTTAATCAAGGATAGACGAAGATGTTTATGGGACACGATATCCACTTAACATCAGGTGGACCATAGTCCACTTGATACGATACGAACAGAAAGCTCGTTTGCCAGCCTTATTCTATAAAAAAAAAACAATACCACGAGGAAATGCGGGCGGTCGCTGGTAATTTAAATGTAAAAAAGAAAAATATAAGAAAAGGACAAACTAAGAACGCAACAGGTTGTTTTCGCTTTGAGGACGTAAATTGTTTTCTTCTTTATTGTACACACTTGTTGATTATGTAACAACAGCTTTCTCGACGCCATTCCAGAATGTTCTTCTGAAAGTGTCCGATTATATTGATTTATGACTCCATTGGGCGTGGGGAGGAGCGCATATAGGTGCTTCTGTCTAGACAAATAAATAGGATTCTGCATCCTGCGCAGTTTTAGGTTTACCTGGAATTACTAGGAAATCGAGAAGTTGCCAATGCGAAAAAGCACGTATTATTAAAAACATAAAGCTCAGAATTCATTTGAGAGTCATTCGATCGATTTAGCTCCAAATCGCATGCGTGTGGAACAAAATCAATATCTCAGATTGAATAGAGACGGGTCGCTCGTTCTCAGTAATCAACGATATGTATTACGCAGCGGTCATATTTCTATCATTAGGGTACTTAAATTTTTGTTATGCGAATTTGGAGGGACCGTTCTTGTTTTTTGGGCCAAAGTCCCTTGAGCAGTACAAGCGGACAGCCCTGAAATATCTCGATCAAGATGAACTGATGAAGATATATGGAGAGCAGGCGGCTATCGTGGTATTCAACAACCAGGACTCGGTGCCTTTGTCCAGCGGGTACTTTCCAAGGCTGAGGAAAATGTTGGAGGGTCACACTATGCTGGTCCTGCCACAAGACTTTCTGGACGTTCATCCTGATTATGTTAGCAATGAGACCCAGGTAAGTGCATCGTCAGCTAATAAGTACACTGGCTGAAACAATGTTCCGGTACTGGGCACAAGCCTCCTTTCATTATTGAGAGGTAGGGTTATGGGTAAATTTTTTCATGTGGTAGAGCCACAATCGCTGATATTTTTGTATGGTTTTTCGTATGATGAATATCGAGAGAGAGAGAGAGAGAAAGGGAGAGATACAGAGAGAGAGAGAGAGAGAGAGAGAGAGAGTAACTAGGCATTAAATCCTGAGGAGTGGAAGGATTCGCATTTTGATTCCTAATCGAGAATGCATCTGGCGGAAGGGGAGAGGGGGGGGGGGTTGGTATTTATAGGTAAGTAATACATACATTCGTAACTTTATGCCAGCCTATTATTAAGTAAATTTTATTTAAAAACAGTTATTTTATTTCTATTTTTATTACTTTTATCTACAGCCGCTTTTCCCTAATGTAGACAAAATATAGTTTAAAAAAAACTTATTTTTAAATAAGAATTAATTTTGATGCAATTTAATCAATATATTTATGAAACGTGATCCTAAAATAAAATATTTGTACAATACCAAAATTAGATTAAGATATCAGATAGAATACCAGCGATGACCTTAAGCTACCACATAGCTCAGTCACAGGCACAGTTTGTCTGTCACTTTTATAAGTATATGTATATGTTAAGTTTGTGATGATATTTTTTGTACAGTTTTAACAAACATGTGTGAATTGAGACAAATAAAAAGCATTATTTGTCTTATTATTATTTTATTTATACATAATACAGTATATAATATAATACATGTTAATAAATAAATCAATGTGATTAGACACTTATCACAATTTTAATTTCTCTCGGCGTCCTCGTGTTGCGTTTGCATAATAGATTATGTATTTGTATATTTTGTTATCCAAAGAGGTGATCATATCGCAGTCATCATCCAACATAAATAACCTTTGATCTTAAAATAAAATAAATATTGATTGATGAGTTTTGGGCCTGTGGTTTCTTTCTTCTTAATGACGCATGCGCAGAGGGGGCGAGTCGGCGCAGTAATATCTCGCTAACATAGAGGTCAATCAATCAAGCAGTCCTAGGGTAGGTTATACACATTGAGATAGAACTAGCCCTCATCTAGTTACATATAGTTTAACTAATCTATTTATAATTAATCTGATTATCATTTAATTTCCTTTTCTAAAGCAATACACAATTTAAATTCGAGCATAAGTAATGCATCCACGACTTTTTCTGCCACCAGGGCGGCGCCACTAAGGATTTAGTTCAAATATTTGACAGTGTTCATAACGGGGGAAGTTAATTTGTTATGAAGTGTAGAGATTAATGTTTCTTTGTGAAATATTATTTATATTTTCGATATTAGTTATTTATTTGTTTTACCAACGGCAGTAAAATAATCTAATTATTTAATACATATTGCCAGCTAATTGCACCAACTCTTATAGGTAAACACCACATGCAAAGGGATTATTTGACATGCATGAATATATATTAATAGATACTGACACACCTTATGTAAAGATTTCTTTTTTTTTCTTTTTTCTTTTTTTTTTAAGAACGTTACCCCACACTAGGATTTTCTCCTGTATCGTGGAGGCAGTTTACAAACACAAATTGCACAAGGACAAACATCCAGACCCGGAACAATTATTTGTAGGCCATACAAATACTTGTTCCGTGCGGGATTCGAACCCGCGCCTCCCAGCGCAAGCAGCCCATTGCTAAGCCACTACGCCACGGAGCCGTCAAAGATGTTACTAATGAGGACACTAAAACTTTATACGCTTTCACAGACATAAATTATTAAGGACAAAATTTATATAAGCAAAAGATTTATATAAGCAAGGGTTGACATTGTTGAAAAGTTGAATGCCTTGGGAGCCTGCCTTAAGGCACTACGCCTTAAGGCAGGGGCTCCCAAGCTTTTTCAGTTCGCGGCGCACTTACCGGTTTAGTATTTTGTATCGGCGCCCTAGCTAGTCGAAAAAAAGAATTAGGTTACAATGGTACTAGATAGATACGACTAGATAGACACAAATACGAGTATTTAAACATCCACAATATGAAGCTGAATTTTTATATTCATATTTACACACAAGTAAACATTTATTATTTAAGAAAAATTGGAAATAAAATACAGCGACTTACTCAATGTGACGTATGAGTTTGGTGATCTCCACACATTTTTTCAAAGCGTGGGATAAGGCTTGACACTACTACTCTCATTTCTTGCTCCACATTGATCTTTGAGCGATATTTTCTCGTTATTACAGCTACAACTAAAAAGCCGGTTTATTTTATGACCGCGAATACATAAGTTTAGTTTCCGGACAATGGTAAACAGGAACCTTTACTATCTACGGTGCACCTGCCTAAAGGCATTAAGTCAACACTTTATATCCCTTGTTGTAAGGTCTAAAGATTAAGTAAATAAATAAATGAAATAAACAACAACGCCAAACATTTTTTATGTTATGTTAATGTTTTAATATTAAAATATTTTGTATTATTATTATTAAAGGTACTGACGCTACAAGGACCTTGGTCAGAACGAGATGCGCAGATGACGGAGACTTTCGCTCGACTCCAGGATATATACGGTCCTGGAAATGTGCTGGGAGTTTTGGGTAAATCTAGCATAAAATATTTAGTTTAAGTTTTCCAAATAAAAATAAATGGACTGCATTTGCATTTAATTAATTTGCAAATGCGAATATAATAACGAATAATGTTTTAAGAATTTGTATAAAAAGTTATTTGGTCATGTGGATGTCATTACTTATTTATCCATTATTATAAAATTACAATGAAGCTTACAATGGATAGAAATAATACCTTGTTTAAAAAAGAGCGGTTGCATCATCGGTTTGTATAAAAGGCACTTGTTTTGGCTTGCCGCTCACTTAGCGGTTAGCCACCGTAGAGTCTATATCACCTGAGGATGCCTCGTGTAGAGGCGAAACACGTGTCGTATTATCGTCAGTGGTGTGTCTTGCCTAGTGTAGTGGTGTTGGGAGTAGCGGTGCTGGGATTAGTGGTGACGGGGATAGTGCACGCAATTGAGGGAGGGCGGGAGGTGCTTCTTCATACTAGGTAAGACACATCATTTTATTTTATAACGCGGATATTTGCGAAGTAAATTTTTGTAAAAGCTTTTATATAATGGATTTCTGCAAAGTAACGCCTGATTCTATTAATTATAATACCTTGTTGCATTCCCTTAGAATCAAATAGGAGATAAGAAGAGTGATGTGAGTTGCAAATTCCGATAGTGAAGGAGAGAACAAATTATCAAATAAATATAATATACACCCATAACATATTCAATTCAATTCAATTTTATTTTATTTATTGCTAGACTATATAATATAATGATCTCATTTGTTACGTATTAATGAGACATTACATTTTACCATGATAATGGCGTGTCATTATATACCTACTAAACTATTATTATTATTAGAATTTAATGAAATTATGCTATTTTATAAAAGCATTTTTTTTTCTTACTGATCTTAATATCAAGTGAAATAAATATTGTATTCTTGTTTATGTACACAAGTAAATCTCGCGACAAGCTTTTGTATCATACAAATTGTGTAATGTAATAAACTGATGGCTTTGATTTTTTTCAAGTTTATTTTGTTCTTTTTAGAACATTTGTTGTTTTTAAATGTTTTTTTTTTCTATGTATTTATATTTTATTTCTTAGTTATTGCTGGACATGTTTGTTTCTCGCACGCAGACTCGAAGATTTCCAGCCACCTGAACATGCCGGTTTCCGAAAAGGCTTTAGGACCATAGACCATATACATACCTTTCGGCAAAATGTCTTGCGTATGTGGACTATACGAAAGCCTTTGATTCTGTCGAAATTTGAGCGCTGCTGCAGCCCCTTTAGCAGTGCAAAGTTGACTGTCAGTATATCGAAGTGCTGAAGTGTTTGTACAGTAGGGCTACGATGGCTATCCGAGTACAGTACCAGAGTACTAAATCCATCCAACTCCAAAGAGGTGTAAGACAGGGTGACGTTATATCTGCGAAACTCTTCACCGCTGCAATGGTCTTTTTCAAGCTACTGGGCTGGAAAGGATAAGGTATTATCATCAATGGCGAGTACATCACTCACCTTCGATTTGCCGACGATATAGTTCTAATGGCAGAATCGTTGGAGGACCTAATCACTACGCTCAATTACCTCAATAGTGCCTCCCAACTGATAGGTCTTAAGATGAACATGTACAAAACAAAGATATGTGTAACGTCTATGTCACACCTATGCGGGTAGTTGTTGGGAGTACTAAGCTCGAAGTTGTTGACGAGTATGTTTACCTGGGGCAACTAGACGGACTAGGTAAGTTCAACTTCGACCAAGAGTTTAATCGACGGATTCTACTCGGCTGGCCAGCGTTCGGGAAATTACGGCACATCTTCTCGTCAAGTAACATCAAAACTTAAAAATGAGACGGTAATGGATGGTATGGTGAGTGATGATTTATTGAACTGAGACGTGGTCTTCGAGGTATTATATGGGGTAGGCCTATGTTCAGCAGTGGACTTTAATAAACTGTAACGATAACACTTACGGTAAAGTTACTTTAATTTACTTAAAGAAACTTTTTGATGTCAAATTAGAATAAACATTATGCCTTTTATGCTTAGTAACGTTCTAGTGCCTATTCACACAACACGTCATTATGTTTGTGGTACAATAAGTATTTTGCTTCAGGTAACTCGGTGTCACAAAGTCAGCAAGCAGACTACGTGGATGGGGAATGGACACGCGTCAAACGCGAAGCTACAGATGAACCAACTACTTCACAGATGTCACCTACAGCTGACGAAGAGAAACCTACAAAAGCGTTGCTTAAATATGCCCTTTATAATGCTACGGGTAAATAAAATGTGTATATTTATTCCTGATTCCTGGTCTGAAAGAAGATGTAGTGGCAAAAATTGAGAAAGGTATACTGAGATGGTTTGGTCATGTCAAGAGAATGAATGAAGAACCTTGGCGGACGTTTCTAGATCAAATCAGGGTACGTCTTGAAAAAAGGCCAGGTCAAGAGTACCCTAAACCGAAGAGCATGTATGAAGGGAATAATGAAAGTGGACGAAGCGAAACAAGTATGTAAGGATCATAGTAAGTGGAATGAAGTGGTCTCTGCCTACGCCTACTGAAAAGAGGCGTGATTATATGTATATTTATTCCATCACTTTGTTTACCAGCATTTCGCCATGCAGGAATAATTAAAAATAATCGCTAGAATTTTTTTAAAGAACATTGTGACAAATGAGCACACAGTCCACCTGATGGTAAGAGGATGCTGTGGCCCATAGAAATCTACATTTACCTTCGATTAAGAATCAAAATTCAGATGCATTGTCACCTCTGAGGACTAAGATGGAATGCCTCGTTTCCAGTAAAAAGGCTCTCCGGTTTTCTACACTCACCATATGAAACACAGCAGCATTGAGATGGTATTTTACGCTGCTATTCTACGAGAGCGTGATCCTTCTCCAGTCGAGTCAACCCATGAACCGTGCTACATACATAATATAACTGCAACGTGGTTCATGTACCATGTATAAAATTACGTACTACTATTATAATATTAAAACACCAAAGTTTGTGAGGATGTATGGATCTTTGTTACTCTTCTACGCTAAAATTACTGAATGTATTTTTATAAAACTATAATATTTTTCACAAGATATTGTGTAAATTCGTCAAAATATAACGATAAGTGCTAAGTAAGTCGGACTAAATCTGTCATCTACGAGCTATTTTGGCGTGCGGTGCAAAAACTGTAAGAGTTACACAAATATAATGTATGGTGGAATTGTTTCTCCTAAATAGTTCTACGAAAAATTCCGCGACAGTATATAAGTAACTTTTATGTGTAAGTCGTTATTACCAAAATAGTGAACCATAAATACAATAAAATTTGATACTGTATTTCCAATGCAAATTTTGCAGTAACAAATTGATTTTATCAAAATAAATTGATAAATACTTTAGTCTTTTCTGATATTCAAAGTTGATAAACTTTGTCTTTTAAACTACGTAATTTGGTCAAATATTTAAAATGTTACGATGATATAAAATTGTGCGGTCCGGCGCGCGCAGGGCCGTCGGGCATACTGCGGGCGAGGGGGGGGGGACATATACGTGCTCATAGCCGCGTGAGCAAATGTAGATCTTCACGCTTAAACCAATGAACCGATTGAGATGTAATTTTATATCGAGATAATTTAAGTTCGTTTTGATCACGGAAATCATCCCTAAAGAGGGTGATGGAATTTACTATGAAAGTGCGATTATAGCTGGATCACCTATGGTTTGAAGTATAATATCTACACGGACGAAGTCGCGGACAAACGCTAGTAGATTAAATAAATGAGGCATTTCTTCGTAGTCTTGAGGGTGACAATTTTTTTATATTTTCATTCCTAAATTAGAAATCCTAATCAAAGTTATACGTAGGAATCTTCTGGCCACGCCATCCACTAACCATCAGGTAGACAGTGGGATCCACTCTTGCATACATAAACATCTAATTATTTTTTTACATTTGAAAATTTACAGGACCACCAGGTAAAGCTGCGTTGTTGTACTCCTCTGGCTGGCCCGAACTCCAGCTGCCGGACGGTACAGTCACCATACTGGACACGCCTATTGGGGAACCTACTGTCAAGCCAACAAGGCTGTACACAATACTAGTTGTACGCTTCGCTGATGGTGAAAACACAAGAGATAAGGTTAGTCATGCAAATTATAAATATTTAAATATATTTCTTTGCTTATTGCGCGTATGGAATAAATAGTTTTAGATTTGGCATTGTTATAGTTTATGCGGAGAATGAGTGCAGAAATCTAAAATTTATGTAAAATATGTGTAACAAATACATTTAATAAAATAAATCATTCATAATAATTTCATATATTTACGTGAACACTACACATTTAAATAAAACTAATTTTACGGATTTTATTGCGTATATTAACTTATTTTATATTCCCGACGTTTCGAGTACTTTACAGCACCCATGTTCACGGGGAAGACTGAGGTGAATCACGTTCCAATATCATAGTTAACCACGGCTACCTCCAGATTAAAATTATTAATTTTGTTCCGATCTACGCAGTATGAACTTACAGTATCTTGAAGTCTTGGCGTTGTATGCTTGGTTTGAGATTTCATTATAATAATTATAGGATCCCAAGCAGATGGCAGTACCTAGCAGTTTTCACTATTGAAATTAGGATGTTTTTTGATATCACTAGAATCGCGAATCATCCTTGGAAGGAATCGGTGTTCTTTAGCAAGGATTTGTGATCTATCAAATCTAATGTAGTGACGGGGGCGATCCTGTACGTGTTCACAGACTGCAGACTTTAATTTGTCACATCAGCGATGTGTTCTTTAATGCGAGATTTTATTGACCTTTTAGTTTGTCCTATATAAGAGAGACTACAAGCTTGACTGTGAATAAACAAGTTCATACTGCGTAGATCGGAACAAAAATTAATAATTTTAATCTGGAGGTAGCCGTGGTCAACTATGACATTGAGAAACACCTCAGTCTCCCCCCGTGACCATGGGTGCTGAAAAATCACTGTCAGTAGTAATATGTAATATGGCTCTCTATACTATAGAGCCAGTATATATTGATGTTGCCAGGATATACTAGAGATCAGGTTTTGAGGCATTTCATCTTTGTCCCCAGAAGTGAAAGAGCATCTGTAACATCTTTGTTCCTTGTAGGTGTATGAACACCTACTAACACCGCGAAGTTTGTATAATTTCTATATAAAGCTTGCTTGTGACTTCGGTTTCAATTTATTAATTTTTAATTAATTCCTTGGTCCTAGATCACTGTGGAGTTCAGCTTCAAACAGTCGGCGGGGTGGTGGGCGGCCGCGGGGGCGGAGGTGCGGCGCGGGCGTGGGGAGGGGGTGTGGCTGCTGGCGCCTGCACTCGCCGCACCTGCCGCTGTGCTCGGTCGCGCCTACCACTGTTCGCAGCCGCTCGTCTACTCTTCCGACAACGCGACGCTCACCTTCCCCGATATAAAGGTAACGATACCTCTCCCATTCAGATCGTGAACTGTTCCCCTGCGGGACGCCACTTTCCCCCAATAGCGTTCCCAATCAGCTCGTTAAATGTTCTCCACAAGAAGCCACATTCCCCGATATAAAGATAATGAGGCCTCTCCCAATCAGCTCGTAAACCTAGACGCCAACTTCCTCCGAGAGCGTTCTTAAATGTTAACTGTTCCTCTGCTGAACTTCACTTGTTCTTCACAATGTATTCCTTCACCGCCGAGCACGTGGTAAATCAGCACTTAAAATTGTAATTAACAATTTCATTGGTGCCGGCGGGGATCGGACCAGGGTTGCTGGGGTACTGTGAAATTTAGAACGAGCGCTAACCATCTCAGCTACCACGGCTCCTAAAAACGGTACATCATTATTTATACTATATTTGAACTTAAGTATAAAAGCAAGCTGTGTTTCGTATGGTGAGTGTAGAGAATCGGAGACCCTTTTTACTGGAAATGACTAAAAATGACTGGCATTCCATCTTAGTCCTCACGGGTGACAACGCATCGGAATTTTGAATCTTTATTGAGGATAGATGTAGATGTCTATGACCAGTTACCATCAGGTGGACTGTGTGCTAATTTGTCAACCAATCCTATTAAAAAAAATTAAATATTACCGATTTCAATATAAATTATTAAGAATAACTCAAAAACTATTGGTCAGACCCAATGACAAATTTATATGGGACTACATGTGAAGCACCAGCTTTCAAATAAAATAGAATCATCGAAATCGGTTAACCTAGAAAAAATTGAGGTAACACGCATAAAAAAACATACAGTCTAATTGAGTAGCTCCTACTGTTTAACGTACTGACTTCAAACTTCAGGAGGAACTTTAATGAATGTAAACTGTTCTTTTCTACTGATAAAAGAACAGTTTACATTCATTAAAGTTACACAATAATCAACAACACAAAACAAGTTAGAAATAGCATGACTAGAATAGAATAGAATCATTTTTATTCAAGTTTGAGATAGAATCATTGTAATTCTTATTAAAAGTCATTTTTTACTTTTACCTCTGGTTCGGAAAAAAACCTCTGCGCTGTTAAGATCCAGCAAGAAACCCAGCGGGACTTATATAATAATTTACAATATAATATTTATACAATTGTTATGAAAACATTTAGAAACGTAGCGGTCACTATTATAACTCATATCAAATAATCTTTGCTCAATAAAGTTTTTAAATTTAAATTAAAAGAATTATCAAAATTATGCTTCATATTCGCAGATGCAACCTTTCATGGAGAACACGCAAAAGTTTGCTGACGCGTTCGATTGCATCGGTTTCACAACGGTGCCGATCTGGTGAGTATTCCATCCCCCTCATTTTAGTGAGTGTAGTTTAAAATATACTGAACTAAAATTTAGGTGTGGAAAGTGATTCTCCTAGATTAATTATGTTTTTGTGACCTTGAGTCTCATTCTTTCACTACGCATTTACGCATTTTTTGTCGTGAATCGTTCGACTCAACTCGGTCGGCGTTGCATTGAACACTGAACCGACGTTAGCTGAGCATATGGCTGTGGCCATATGTGAAGTGGCAATGCTTTGGCGCGGCAATTACTTATCTAGTGTAAGATATAAATCAATGTTTCTACATATTTGTGCCATTTTCTATTAACAGTGGTAGAGCCATGCGGCAGCTTTAGCTGTCGCACGGATGGGCCGGCTCGAACCGGGGTGGTACCACGATCTCACAGAAAACCAGCGTGAAGTAGAGGTTTATCTCTGCGTTTCGCTTGGTGAGTGCAGGTGGCCGGATGCCCTTTTTACTGAAAATGAGGCATTCCATCTTAGTCCTCACGGGTGACAACGCATCTACATTTTGATTTGTAATAGAGGATAGATGTAGATGTCTATGGGCCGCAGCAACTACTTACCATCAGGTGGACTGTGTGCTCGTTTGTTACCCTTATCCTATAAAAAAAGAGACTATCGGCCCGTGGGGTCCACGTGCGGTGAAGTTCTTAAAGGAACTATATCCGTGATTGGTTGTCGCTCCCGTTAATAAGAGAGTTGGTTCTTTTCTCACTCAAATGCTAAGTATAACCATTCAGTGAGGTAACCGCAGCCAGCGTTCTGGGCACTACATCGCGAGATATAGGACTGTATGATAATTTACGTTCTTAGTTGCAGTTTTTTTTTTTATTATGGTAATAAATATTGCGTATTATACTTGAATGATATATAACCATCAAAATAAATAAAAATTACATTTTAATGAATTATTCTCATAACAGGTCCGGACTCATGGTGTCGTTTATCATGCTGATCGGTCTTGCGGTCTCAATTTCAATGATCATGGATATCAAGACCATGGACCGCTTCGAGACCAGCAGGAGCAAGCAATTGACCATCACTGTCAGCGAATGAACATATCGATAAATTAAATAACTAGGTCTTGATGATTTGGGAAAGTGGAGTTTAGTATAAAATGCATAAGGTGTTGTGTATCAAAGCTAATGATGTATGTACATGTGTACATTACACAGTGTAATGTTGCAGAAACTTATATAGATTTTTTCTTTGGTTATAGACTCGTACGGTTACACTGTGGCCAGTGTCAAGTAATAAGAAATTATATTTTAAAATAATTTGTTTCAAAATCTTCTTACCAATATGCCAAAGACTTGTTTTGTCGTTTGTATCAAAATCAACTTCAAACCATTATTTAAATTATAAAACTGGAGCAACAATCCGATGACGGTAAAGTTGCTACCAAAACTGAACTTATATAGTTACGTTTAGTTGCTGTACGTGGGAGAGCCACGCTGGAGCTGTGAGACGGCTGCAGCACGAATGGGTCGGCTCGACCGGGGAGGGACCACGCTCGCACAGGATACCGGCGTGAAATAGCGGCTTAATGCTGCTGTGTTTCGTATGGTGAGTGACGGGAACCGGAGACCCATTTAACTGAGGCGTTCCATCTAGTCCCCTGAGGTGACAACGCATCTACATTTTGACTCTTAATCGAGGATAAATGTAGGTGTTTATGTACCTTTCACTTACCATCAGGTGTATTGGGTGCTTGTTTGTCACCTGGATATTATTTCTTTTTAATTTCGCCGTCATTGTGAGCACGTCTGGATCTCTACTATCTATATTTAAGCATAGCTGTAAGTACTCGTATATTAGGATATTTACACAATTTAGCTATTCTTTTGCCGTGTGGTGACGGCTTAAGAATTTTGCCACCCCTACTCTTCCCGCGGGTGTCGTAAGAGGCGACTGAGGGACTTTAGGACGTTTCTATATGACTTGTTATGTTAGGGACGTGCATGTTGCGGCGCGACGTTTCCACCCTCTTGTCAAAGTTTAATTGCAGACATTATGTTTTTAGCGTTGTAAAATCATTGCTGATGAATCAAGGGTGATGGCTTTGCGGCGTTGTGACAATACACAGTGTCTCTGGTGAACTAGTGCCAAGACAGTCTGCGTCACGCTGCGACGTGCTTCACTAATTTAACTTGTCTTAAGTCCTATCCCGCGCTGTTCTGGGATGTAAAAAGAATGCAACAGCTGCCTCTCTTCCCGTGCATGGCGTAAAAGGCGACTGAGGGACAACATGAGGAGGATTTGTAACAAGTAAACCAACGGGCTCAATTACTTGTTACAGTTCTTATTAATAACAACTCATGTATTCGTTTCTAGATGTAAGTTGAGGGCCCGGAAGACTGTGCCATACTCATAATCAAATCGGCATTGTGGTTGCGAGGCGGGATTTACTCTTAGTGTTAATTCTCCCACCAATTGGAATCTTTTGGACAACGCCGTGAGCATTGCTGACTGTTCGTTTGGTGGCTTGTCCGCCGATCGTACACTCTAATGCCTTGCCTCGTTGTCTCCAGTTGGTGAGAGAGTGTCCAAATCCCTCAAGCGACGCCATGCCTTGGTACAGACTTCCTACTTAGGTCTTAGATATGCACTATGGACGTTTTTATACTATTACAATATATGTTAAGTGTTATAATTGTAAATATAGATGAAATGGACAAATAAAAATTAATAATAAGCGAGAAGCGTGTTTCATTTGACATTTTCTTGGTCTATTCTAAGTAAAAGAATATTTAGTATTCCAGATCGTCCCGTGGGTGTCGTAAGAGGCGGCAGAGGCAAACAAGCCAGGAGATATTATTCACGCGCAGAACGCGTGGTAGTTAGGATGCAGTTTTTAAATAAAAATCTTCGTCTTCATAATATATAAATTATAATATCGTACTTGGACAACAAAATTAAATGAAGTGATATAATTTAAGCGAAAAACGCTATATATACATATTTACAGAAAACATTCTCTTGTTTCTCCAATATTCGTGACATCTGTCTTTTTTATTCTTTACAATTATTTAAAAAATTAAAATAAAAACAAAACATATAAAAACTCCACGAACATACTCCGCACCCCTGGAAGCCTCAGTTTTCAGTCTTCGTATTGGGGATCCATAGAGGACGCAGGGACGTAGAGGACACAGGTATTTAATACCACGTTTGAGGACTCCGGTGGACGTCAGAACGTCTGCCACACGGTTTATTCCATCTGATCCGGGGTAAAACTGTATGATACGTCCGAGTTTCCACTGTAGTGGAGGAGCGTTGTCATCCTTGAGTAAAACCAATTCTCTACTCGCCATTTATGTCGCTGTTGCAATACAGATATATAATCCAGCTTCCATTTATTCCAAAAATGCTGACGGTATTTTTCTAGTTGTTTAAATCTGTTAAGCCGGTTGAAACTCGTTGAAGTATGATCAGATGATGGTATCGTATATAGATCACGTCCGATGAGGAAATGACCGGGAGTGAGTGGATGGAAATCATTAGGAGAGGACGACATAGGATATAGAGAGCGACTGTTCAGGATGGATTCAACTTGACTAATTAAAGTTGCCAGGTCTTCATAAGTTAAATGTGTAGAACCAAGGGTTCGTTTAATATGAAATTTAGCGGATTTAACGCCCGCCTCCCATAGACCGCTAAAGTGCGGCGCATAAGCCGGGGAGAAATGAAATTTTATGCCTTCGTTCGAAGCAAACTCGGAAATGGAACGGGAATGCGTGTTTTAAAATTGCCTAGTCCTTTCGAGGCTGCCACAAAATTCGTGCCGTTGTCACAATAGATATCTGACGGCATTCTGACGGCTTTCCTCTGCGAGATATAAACCGACGTAAAGCTCGTACAAACGCATCTTTGCTGAGATCACTCACCGCTTCTAAGTGAAGGCATTTATAGTTCATACAAATAAATAAACATAAGTAGCATTTAGTTACGATTTTACAGCCTCTACCTTTACGATTAACCATAGAAAATGGTCCCGCAAAGTCTACGCCAGTACTAATAAAAGGAAATCCAGCGTCTACGCGAACGGAAGGTAAGTTTCCCATTTTAGGGGTTACTGCTTTAGCAGCAAATCTACGACATCTGACACACTGATGATAGACAGAACGAGCGACATCTCTTCCAGCGACGGGCCACACAGTGCGACGGACGGACGACCGCAGCAGCAGCGGCGCGGCGTGCAGCAGGCGCAGATGCTCACGCTCGAACAACAGCCGAGTGAAGCGCTGCTTGCCGTGGACTAAGATAGGATGTCGTTTTTCGAACGAGTAGGATGATTCATCGAGGCGGCCCCCCACACGGATTAAACCATCGCGTAGAAATGGTCTTATAGGTATAATGCTATTTTTCAGAGTGTAACGGTTTATTATTTTGTAATAATTTTAATTCGTTAGGAAAAGATTCACGCTGAGAGAGATATGTTAGTTTTTCAAATGATCGAGTAAGTTCCTCAGGCTGCAGCACATCGATAAGCTTAATTCTATTTTTACAACAGATTATGAAACGTAAGACATAAGCGAAAATGCGTTGTAGTTTAGTAAGAGATGAGTATGAGTCGAAATCAATTAAAATTTGTTGATACATTTTTTCTATGTCTCTGAAGAGTACATATTTATAAAGACGAAATCCGAGTTATTAAATAAGGAATCGTGAATAGTAGGCCCCACCATTTGGAGGTCATTAATAGAGAAACCTGAGGTAGAGGGGGCGCTGCCGTCGAAAACAACGCGAAGTTTTGTCGACTCACTGTCTGGTTTGATAACCGCATGGTGCGGGATGAAGTAAGCTGGAGATGAAATAACCTCAGTAGCTTCTGATAGATGTCAAAGATCTGAATATTGACGTGTAAAATCAGAATACATTAATTTTAAACCTTCATTTTTTCTAAAACGTCTTTCTAACCCTAGGAAGCGCTTTTTAGGTAACTGATAAGAATTGCCAAAATAATCAGGTTCAGAAATAAGTGGTAATCAAACACAAAACCTACCGTCGTCCATGCGACGAGTATTTTCTAAAAAGTGCTTCTCACATTCCATATCAAAATTGGACAATATCCTCAACCTGCCAAAATTTAGTAATTTGCTCTTCAAGGGAAAAGTGAGTTCATAAAACGCTATGAACATTAGTCTTGGTAACAGACTTTGAAGAAATTGGGCCAGGTAATATCCAACCAAACCTTGTATCTGTGACTATAGGTTTGTTACAGCCTAGAGTGATCTGTTGGCCTAATATTAATTGCCAAAATACATCAGCTCCAATAAGTAGATCTACAGGAGCAGACTGAAAAAAGTTAGGATCGGCAAGGATATATCAAGTTAGACATGAGGTAGATCGCCAGATATTTTAGGTACGTAGCACTAAGCAAGATAAGGTAAGTGTGTTTTTAGTAGATTTAGACTTAATACGGACGGAGCAACGCTTGACGCCTAAGGTAAGTTGTTTGTCACCTACGCCTATTATATTTGTGTTTGTTTGTTCAGTGGGCAAGCAAAGATTGCGTTTCAAATTTTCAGTTAGTATGGAAGCCGGCAGTGGATAGCAAGACGTGGTTGTTACTGGAGACGGACTGTACTGATACATTGACTGCAGTGTCAATGACCTCAGGGGCTTCATTTGCTGGTTCAGTTTCATTTGCAGTCCTATTTACGGATGCATTGCTTGCCTGAGGAGCCTCGCGGTGTAAAAACGTATTGTGTCGCCGCTTACAAGTAAAACAAGGGCCTAACCTGCATAGCCGCGTAGGGTGTCCCTTACTCGTACGTAGGCAATTTAAGCATAATTTCAACCTGGCCGCCTCGGTGATACGCTCCTCGATAGATTTGGACAAGAAAGAAGAGCAGCCGTAGAGGCGGTGCGGCCCGCCGCAGTATACGCACGACGCCGCCGCACCCGCCGCTCCGCTGGTAGCGCTCGCAGTAGCTGACGAGACACCACACATAGACGAGCTGGGTTCCATTGAAATAGCATGAGATTTTACGGGTAATTTTTGTTGCTTAAAATTGTTTTCCTGTTTATTATTATTCACACTTTCGAGAATA